TAGAAGCCTCATGGCAGCTTAGTCTGGTTGACCACTTGGGCGTCCCAGTACCCCATAAGAAACAGAAGGCGCAGATACTATCATCACATAACTGGGCATATGACTTGAGTCGGCATCCATACACGCAAGTTACCACAAGACAAATAGGGAACATTCTCAACTAAATCAATCACTACCTCCTGCTTAGTACTTACAACTACAAGGAACTACAATCCCTACCAGGTTCCTTAATTTTGACATGCCAATCATACCACAAGACCACGCTTTCACATCCAGAGTACTTTCCCCTTTTTTCCACACTTCCAACATGACGATCAGAGGAGGTGCCTAGACACCTCAGCAACAGCAGACCTGCACATGGGGGGAGGGGGGAGTGGGGGATTTCTTAACCACTTGGCATGGTAAAAGCATGTTCCTTCCAGGATTGTCTGACACTTCTCCAACCAGATGGTCAGACGCAGCGTAAACCACAGGTTTGGCAGCGATCTACCGGGAACAATTGCTTTGGGGCTGTTGGCCATGGCATCCAGGTTTGGAAATGTTTCCACCACTTCAGCCCCTTTGGGAGATCTACCCCATTGTAGCAGCTGCTGTGGCATGGGGTAAATCATGGTCAGGGTCATCAATCCGTTGTTACTCAGACAACTAAGCACATATCATATCATCAACAAACGCCACTACTCATCCATAAGTTCATGATGTTTCTGGGGAACTCACTTGGTTGGCCACTTATCACATTTCACTTTCATGTACCAGACGGGGGTATACATCCCTGCCGACAACTGTCTCATTTATATTCCAGGCATGTTCATCATACGCTTCCTACAGCCGCCCATACAGTCACGTCCACTCTTTCGTTCCAGAGACAAAATCATGGATTAGACATACTCATGCAGCATAGCATGCACTATCCCACCTAGCACTTTCGTCCCATACTTGTAGAACGCATAACACAGCTTTTCACCTGGCTTAAAGAATCTCATTGGAACACGACATAGCTCAACCTGTGTCACAAAATTTCTCCTAAGTTTTGCTTATTTTTGCCACCTTAAACTATCTCATACACCATTAATTATATATTTTACAGGCATTCAACAACACATGATAACCTATGGCCAAAACTACCATAAACTTCATGCTATCATACCAGAAAGAATATACTCAGAGGTTTTCAGGAATCCATTCCCCCACGTTCCTCTCAGAGATTACCAATAGCCATCCAACTGTTCATCCTTATCGGACCTATTAGATCTACAACCATTCAATTATACTACCAAGTCGGCCATTACCAGCCATGCACATTGCCTTTTATGCCTTTCTCAGGCCAGAGAATCCACTACCATCACCACCACTCAGACAGATCATTGTCTTCAACGATCCCACGTACGTAAACACATATATCATTACCTATTGGCTCTACCACATTCCGAAATGAGTCAACATGCACCAACAGTAGAGATAACATACTATCCTACCCACAACAAATGGTGCCCACTTTCGGTCCTAGATTCCTACCTTCAAAATCCTTTCAGGAATTAAATACTGTAATGCATTTAAGGAAATGTCTGGTTAATTTGTATATATTTGTTGACTGTATTAAATCTTTGATTATTCATTTTTGCCCTCTTTATTTACAGGCCTACCGTATCGTCGGTATCGGCACACCACAACCGACTTGCTCCCTTTACACTATCCTAAGCTTATGCTGGATCCTTACTCCATATACGGCTATTTTGCCCCTTACACAAGTATTAAGGCAGTTTTGCCTGTATTTGTGGGAGGGGCTTAAATTAATTCACTCCCCTATATAAGGGACACCCCTTACCTGACTCATATCGCTTGAGGTCAGCATCAGAATGACCCTCCCACCCACTCCTCATTTCAACACTTTCTCTTTTCTTTCCATTTACTTTACTTTCTTAATCCTTGGTGGGCCCTCTTTATTTACAGGCCTACCGTATCGTCGGTATCGGCACACCACAACCGACTTGCTCCCTTTACACTATCCTAAGCTTATGCTGGATCCTTACTCCATATACGGCTATTTTGCCCCTTACACACAATATAAAAAATTCCCATGGCTAAAAATGGCAGCATCACTTATGGACAAAGTTCCTCCCCAGCTGTCAGGACAGGAATAATTAAATGTTTAACACAATCCTTTTCTCATTGTCTTAACTGACTGGCAGGGATAATTACTCCCCTGTTAAATGTACATTTTATTTTGGCTCTACAAGAAAAAACCTAATACGCTACAGTGATGTGTGAAGAGATAAAAACAACCCTAATATTTATTAATCTAGACATGTAGGTAGCTTGACACCTATCAGGTAGCTCTTGGGTAAATATAAAGGGAACGGGTCAGAAGGTGAGTAAGAATAAATATAGACAATTCATCTGATATAAAAAAAAATCCACCTAATATCAGCTGACCCTTAACAGGTAGATGTGCCTAGGCTGGGAGTAGCAACAGTAGAAGACCTTTTCAAAACACAATTAAATTGAGGGGGTACAACCTTCTGGCCCGTTCCCTTTATAGTTACCTTATAGGTGTCAGGCTATCTACATGTCTAGATTTAATAAATATTAGGGTTGTTTTTATCTCTTTACACACCACTGTGCTCTTCCTGCTGCACACCCATTTGTGGTAACGCATTAGGTTCTGATTTTTTCTTGTAACATAATTTGATGGTTACCACCTCCTCCAGAGCACAGTTTAGGTGGCCTTCTCTGTTGTTCCTTATCCTAAAATTACTTCAAGAAATAGAGGAAGTGTTTCGAGAGGAAGAGAACCAAGGGTTCTTCTTCTTCATGGCATTCTTAGCCCCAAACCTTCAGAGAAAGTGGAGATTAATGCTGAGCCAAGTCAATTTCTGGAAAAGTGGTCTTTCAAGATGGAGTCAATTCCCACCAATCCACAAGGTTGACTTCAGTGTACTTAATGGATGCCTATGTATCAGAGGCACCTGAATTTTCTCTGATTCTTTGTTCTAGGAAGACACTTCACATTTTGTCTTCCATTTAGTATTTTTCAAGGTGCTGGCAGTGCTAGATGCAGTTCTCCAGTGTAGAAATTGTGTCTGATGTCCGTTCGTTTGCTGTAACCCCTCGTACGTTTCCATCCTTTTATACCCACCGAACATTGATCACCCCCTGGCTCATTAACTTCAAAGAAGCCAATTATCTCAAGAGCTCTCTGGGTTGCTTCCATTCATATGACCGAACACACGTGCATTATGGAATGGAGGCCATTTTGCCTCCCGAACGCCGGGAGCGGTAACTGGTTGTCAAGTGCATGGAACTAATTTCTCGCCGAGAAACTGTACCAGTTTTTGGGGAAAAGACTTGTTCGTCTGAGAGGAGCAGTCACTTACTCAGAGCCAGGAGGAGTCATCGTGCATTTTCATACAGCAATTTCCAAACATTGACCGGCCCCTGCTTCTTTTCCCTGGTTTTGGGTTACCACCTCGTGGCCGGCCGGTCAGAACTTTACCCGCGTGGCGATTCCGTTACACTAAATGGATCCGAGCACTATGTGGACAACTTGGGTGCTCAGATCCGGGCTATTTGGGAATATAAGACCCATGGGTTCCTGTGTAGTTTGAATGTCATTTTGTGTATTATATGTATGGTTCCCTGTAACAGAGATAATAGAGTTACTGGCTTTGACTCAATTATCTCTCAGACACAAGGACCCCTGGGAGGTTTTGTATGGAGACCCCATGCTGGGGGTCGGTGCATAAAAAGCAGAGTGTGGCACAATAAAAAATCTGTGCTGTCTAGTTACTGGGGGGGGGGGGGAAAGAGTTATAATCCTTCAAGGAGGAATCAGCAGAGATAACCAGTCAGGGTATTGGAGCTCCGCTACATCTGGAGACAAGGAATTGAGGTGTTCCATTACCAAAACTCTAATAGTGGCTGATCAACAGGCATAATTTCTATGGAAGTAGTTGCAGTTCTTACAAAGTTTGGATGGATGACGAACCAGAAAAAAGAGCAGCCTGACTCAATCAACACCTCAGAATCAACAATTTCCCCTCTACGTGGTTAAAAAAAATAAATAAATAAAAAATAAAAAAAACACCCCACACACACCCCCCAGGAGAAAATCCAGAGAGTATTGTCCAACAACTGTTACCTGAGAATACATGAGCTTTCTAGGATTTTTTTACCTCAACTGTTCTGTTGGTTTGGTAAGACGGGCTCATTGGCATGTAAGACCTATGCAAGGAAACTTCTTAAAGCAATTCAAGAAGAAAATACAAGGCACCAACTTATAGTAATTCCATAGGAGCTCAAACTTTGTTTTTAGATGGTGGCTTCAAATGCGGAACCTAAGCAGGGCATTTTCTCTGGAAGAACGAAGGTGGACAAGTATAATTGCAGATGCCAGTTCAAAGGGCTGGGGAGCTCACTTCAACAACCTAATTGCCCAAGGAGTATGGAAAGTGCAGGATCAGTCTCTTTACTCGACATCTTGGAATTAAGAGCAGTCTTCAAGGCACTGTTATTATTTTTAGTCTACTTGAGGAACAAGGGAGTATTGATAAGGACAGTCAATGCCATTGTACGTCAACCATCAGGGAGGAACAAAAAACAGATTACGGTTTGAACTCCAGTTGATAATTTGGTCCCAGAATCATCTGCAGTGGTTGAAAGCAGTTTATCTTCCAAGGAGAGAGAATAACCTAGCAGATTACCAGGGTTGGTCCCCCATAGGTAAAACCACTACTTATACAGAGTATAAGGAAACAAAGCTCCACATTAAAAGAGAATGAATACCACCTGATAACAGTTTCTATAAAAGAAGAAACTGTACATAGCATTATACAATACAGGAAAAATTACAAGGGAAAAGGGGAGGGGGAAGAGTGAGAAAACTCACAAGACATCTGGAAATTCAGGCTTGTCTCCCCACAGAAGGGAGTATGTATGGAGTAGATATTCAGCTGGCAACTGCAAATAATAAAGGAGAGCCAATAGCGTGATATAGTAAAAACAGGCACTTTAATGCTTAAAATTGCACTTACAGAGTACAATGAGTTCAAGCTTATCTCCACCCAGAGTGGACCTGGAGCAGTATACTGCGGAAGGTAGGTGGAACAGCAAACAGCAGCCCGGCAACAGGAACAATAAAACGACAAGGGAGGGAGACAATAAAAATCAAACTAAAAGTCCCACAAATAATGTCCAATGTATGAACTTCTTCATGGATCTGGGACTTTGTCCTTGTGTCGCCGCTTAAGTATGCTTCTTAATTGCAGACCTTCTGATCAGCCGGTGTTCGCGTGCGTTCCAGCATGGAACGCAATAAATTTCCTGTATTTCGATGTCACTTCCGGTTCTCGGCTGTCTGGCGAGCACGTTGAAAAGATAATACAGGCGATCGTGCACGTATAATCATGCACGCGCGCCTATAATTACAACAGCAGCAAGGGTATAAAAAAAAGTGTCAATAATACAGACAAAACCACATTTAAATGTACTGGGATAAAAACAAAAATTTCCAGTATATTCATAAAAAGATGCAGACATCATGCATGCATGATAAATTGACATATAAATGCAAATCAAAATACAAGTATAAACATTTAAAGAAATATATGAAATAAAAAATGAATAAATAAAAAAAAATATATATGTATATGAATATATATATGCATAAGTAATATATTAAAAATTAAAATATATATGGAGTCCATTTACAATCCATCCATGTACAGTTATATACATCAAGCCATAAGCAAAAATTAGATAGATAAAGAGCAATTAAAAATTACATTAATCCAGCCAAATCTATATCCATATTAAGACCCGATTTGAGAGTTTTTAAGTTAAAAATCCACTGGGCTTCTTTTTTAGCCAACCCTTAAGATCTATTTCCTCCTCTCCAATTTATTGGCAACTAGGGGACAGGTGTTGCAATGCCTAGGGACACTATGATCAGTCTTTCTTTTTTGTATGTTGTAACAGACCGTTTCAGCACACAAGGGGTTAAAACTGTTTAGGCAATATTCCCCCTTTCAGATGCACAGGCACAGCTACTGCAGAACACCAAACTCCCGAACTGAATAAAAGGGAATGCTTCAAACTCCTGAACTGCATTCAAGGGAATGCTCCAACCTCCCGAACTGCATACAAGGGAATGCTCCAACCTCCCGAACTGCATACAAGGGAATGCTCCAAACTCCCGAACTGGAACCTCACGAATAGCTGCTAGCAGACGAACAGGAAAAGCACCCAAGCGGCTTACACTCCTGGCAATCAGTCTCTAACAGCATACAGTAAATCCCCCCAAAGACGAGACAAGGCTCCGTGTTGGGGGTCAAGCAGTGGTCTGTTTAATGAGGGCTACCTGCCCAGTATTTATGCAGGTCTCCCACCTGGTGGACACTCCCCTAGGGGACCAAATGGGAGACTGTGACAAAGGACAGACATGAGCCAATGACAGACACACAGAGGTAAAACCTCCCCACAATGCACCCTAACTTTCCTCCCTCTGTCCTGGAGATAATTGGGAAGTAATCCAATTATCTCCCAGCACAGAGGCAAAACTCCATTAACCACATGGTAGTAAAAGACAGTAAAAGACATAAAAATGTATAAAGTTACAACTGTTGCACAAAACATATACATTCTACCTATCCCCAGATAGCTTAGATCTGAGAGCACAAAAGTACCGAATAGCGCTCAGATCCTATGCACACAGTCCAATCGCCGTGGAGTTAAAGTGTTCACAAAGTCTGTTCTCCATCCGAATAGACTCCACAGGATGGCTATCTGGGGTAATGCAGATCATACGGTTTAAACTACCGAATGAGCAGGCATCCGGTTAAATAAGCCTTTTCTGCAGGGGAAAAGAAGGCTTTTAACATGGGGCCATAGTCCAAAGGCAACAGGCGAGCAACCAGGCTTCTCCAATGCAATGTGGCGAGATTTGTCTCGTCAAATCTCTCCCCTTTTCCAAACAGACTAACAGGGTATCTGACCTCCTGCCGGTCAGTGCCCTTGTTAGTCCAGCAGCCCACCGACAAAACACAATCAGCAGTACAGCCCACCCACAATAAATGCTTACTACACCTGGGTAGAGGAGAAGCTTGTCCATGTCCAGGTGCCTCACCACGGCTGTGCTGGGTACGCGTATGCTGACTTGGTGGGTTGCTGAGTGGGCAGAGACCAGCGGTACTCTGCCCTGGTGCCAGTGCTACTGGGAAGGTAGCCTGGTTGAAGCCTGGTTGTTGGAGGGGGAGACCGACTGTCTCCCCTCTGGATACACAGCCCTGCTGCTGGAGACCGACTGTCTCCCCTTTAGACACCCAGCCCTGCTGCTGGAGACCAACTGTCTCCCCTTTGGCTAAACAGCCCTGTCGTTGGGGGGCAGAGCCGACCGTCCCTACCCCCTGTGCTGTACGTGCAGAGACCACGGTTCCATCTGCACAGTTGTGGGGCTTACTGTCTCCCCCTGGTACATTAAGCTGCCGCTGGAGAGAGGGGGTAACAAGCTCCTCTCCCATACATACTTCCAGCCGCAGGGGAGGGAGACCGACTGTCTCTGCTCCCAATACAGAGTCCTGCTGCTGGGGAAAGGAGACTGGGCTCTCTATTCCCGGTAGGACACTCTGCCGCTGGGGAATGGAGACTGGGCTCCCAATTCCCTGTTTTATCTCCCGCTGGGGAATGGAGACTGGGCTCCCAATTCCCAATAATTCATACTGCCGCTGGGGAATGGTGACTGGGCTCACAATTCCCAAAAAATCATACTGCCGGTGGGGATCTGAGCTGACCGCCCAGCATCCCTGTAGCTCACCCTGCCGCTGGGGAGGGAGGACGCTGCTCTCCTCTCCCTGCAAGGTACGCTGCTGCTGGGAGGCAGGACCACTTGCCTCTGCCACCTGTAACTCAGCCTGCCGCTGGGGAATGGAGCTTGGGCTCCCAATTCCCTGCAATATCTCCCGCTGGGGAATAGCGCACAGATCCTATGCACACAGTCCAATCGCCATGGAGTTAAAGTGTTCACAAAGTCTGTTCTCCATCCGAATAGACTCCACAGGATGGGTATCTGGGGTAATGCAGTTCATATGGTTTAAACTACTGAATGAACAGGCATCCGGTTAAATAAGCCTTTTCTGCAGGGGAAAAGAAGGCTTTTAACATGGGGCCATAGTCCAAAGGCAACAGGCGAGCAACCAGGCTTCTCCAATGCAATGTGGCGAGATTGGTCTCGTCACATATGTTATTAAAATGTTCTCATATTCTTACGTGTAGTTTATGTGTTGTTCTGCCCACACATTGGGCCCCACAGCCACATTGTAGCATATAAATCACGTAAGAAGAAGAGCATTGTATAAACTTTAGATTTTGTATTCCTTCTGAGTATAAGTACCAATGAAACTCTTTGTAACATTCCTCTGATGCATACATGTTGAACAATTACCACAACTATAAAACCTCTCTCTACTTTTGTTACTCAGCATTTTCATTCCTGAGTTTTTATTTTTATCATCTGGGAGCAAACTCGAAGCCAGTTTATTTTTAAGATTTTCCGCTTTTTTTAAAATCATAATAGGACGGTCAGGGATAATCTTGCCAAAGATGTCATCTTTTTGAAGAATATGCCAGTGTTTCTTTAACACTCTCTCAATCTTTTTTGCATGAATATTATATTGAGTCACAAAGGCATATTCCAATTTATTTTGCTGAACTGATTTTTTGTTTTTATTTTTGTATTTGTTTTTATTATCTGTAAGAAGTTCAGATCTGTCCAAACTTCTTAGTAATATTTAATCTCTCTCCATTCTTTTATGATTATATCCTTTATTGATGTACCTGGTTTTTATCAGCTTAGATTGTTCATCAAACATTTTTAGATCAGAACAATTCTTCTGCTTCTCGTCATTTGACCTTTAGGGACATTATCCAGCCATAAGGGATGATGTAAACTTTTACTATTAATAGCGGTATTGCAATCAGTTGGCTTAAAGAAGATTTTTGAGCGTAATTGACCTTCTTCCACATATAATGTTAGATCAAGAAAATCAATCTGTGTGGCATGTATGGTAGAGGTAAAATGAAGATTATAATCATTTTGATTAATGTACCCAATGAAGGCAGACAGGCTATCAGGTGAACCTTCCCACATCGTCAATGTAGCGTCGCCATAGGACGAGACTGCCCATGAGACAAGGGCCTAGATGAATACATAATGATTCCCAATGGGAAACATATAAATTGGCGCAACGTGGGGCAATCTCGTCCCCATGGCGACGCCACACATCTGTAAATAAAAAGTGGAGTCAAACCCCCAAAAATTCAGAGGTAAAACAAAATTGATGCATTGAACCAGAAAATCAACTTGTATATCACATAAGTTACTTTGAGATTTCAAAATCTCCTTAATGGCTTCTAGGTCTTTCAGATGTGATATATTCGAATAAAGGGATGTTACATCCACTGTAGCTAAAAGATAAGAAGACTTAAATTCTAATGTTTGTATGATCTGTAGAATATGCTTGGTGTCTTTAATGTGTGAAGGGGTTAAGGCAACCAATGGCTGGAGAGCCATTGGCTGCCTTAACCCCTTCACACATTAAAGACACCAGGCATATTCTACAGATTCTGGTTTATACTCTGTATAAGTAGTGGTTTTACCTTTGTTTAGTGGTGTTGTGAGGTTCACTATAATAGCTCCTTTGCTCACTTTCATTCCTCTATTAGTGACTCAATCTTTTCAGTTTTTTACACTTTTGATCCCACATAGATCCGGGAGAATGGTGACTGAACAGGGTTTTTCAGGAGATAACTTTGAAGTGGGTTATCACAGATAAACCTCATGGCAACACTCAAACACCCAAGTACCCAGGTTCTTCTCAAGATGGCAAGATCGTCATGCAGAGGCACAGTAATTTTTCCTCAAGTCCTTCTTATCCATCACATATGGAAGAAAATATGGCAGAGGAAGATCTTGATAACACTTTAAGAAAACCTATAATTTTTGATGAAATGTTTATTACTTTTTATGGTGTTTGTTTTCATAAAATGTTGTTATTTTTAACCATATTTGGCTTTCCTGATTTTATCCTCAAGATTTTATTCAGAAGATCCTGACATCATATTCCTTGGTGGGGCTATAAGGATTGAACAAAACCCATGGTGAATCCTGAATACCTTGAGCTAGGGAGCTCATACCACACCAGCTACCAAAACATACATTGCAAAGTCTTCTACATGCAAGATTATTATTATTATTTATAAAGTGCCAACAAGTTCCGTAGCGCTGTACAATGGGGGGGGGTACTAACCA